CGTGGAGGTCAGAAGAGGGCTTCAGATTCCCTTGGAACTGGAGTTAAGGACCGTTTGTAGTTGCCGTATGGGTGCTGGGAATGGAACCTGGGCCCTCTACAAGAGCAGTCAGTGCTCTTAACTGCTGAGCCATCTCTCCAGCCCCCCATGCCTTAGTTTTATAAATATATAAAACATGAAATATACATGTTGCATATCCCCAAATCTGACAGTCCCTAATCTGAAATGGCCCAAGACCCAAAACTTTATTTATTTATTATATTTTATGTGTATGAGTGTATTGTCTGCATGTATGCAAGTACAATCTTGTTATGCAACACCCACAGAGGCCAGAAGAGATCCCCTGGAATTGGAGTTATGGATGGTTGTTAGCTACAGTGTGGGTGCTGGGAATTAACCCCAGATCCCCTGGAAGAGCAGCCAGTTTTCTTAACCACTGAGTCATCTCTCCAGCCCTGACTCACAACTTTTGAGCCCTGACTACCATAAGTAGAAGCTCCACCTCCATCTCTGGCTTTCCCAGAGCCTCTTTACCCAAGAAGCTATGCCCATAATTCTTTCCTCTCTCCCTCTAATTCCTGAGGATGCTCAGTAGCTAATGATGGACCACCAATGGAGCTAAAGAACTGATCCTGTTACCTCAACATGAGGCAGCTGTAGTGATTTATATTTCAGCGTTGCCTGCTAGATCAGACTCAAGCCAGACTCCACCCAGTGGTACACTGATGAGTCTCTCTCTCCTTCATTTCTTGTCATATCTTGATTTTCTTGATTTGTGGTCCTCAGAGGAGTCTGTTGGCCATCTGAAATCTATCTTCATCTTGCTTCTAAGTTCTCCAACCCAAGAAAGCTGCTTATGCTACACTGTTTCCAAAAGTTGGTGTTATTCCTGTTGATGCAAAAGCATAACTCACCTCAAAGGGGATAAGAGATGGTTTATTCTGGAGCCAAATATGAGTGACCATGGCCCGGGAACACAGATTCAGGTTACCCCAAATTCCATGTTCCAGCATGGTAACAGTTGTCTTACATTTTTATAGTAATACAACAAAGAAAAGTCATAAATCCAGACACTTTTCAAATACATTGGAGGATACATTCAGTAGGCGGGTCGCAGCAAAGCGAGGGTTTTTTTTTAACTATAGGTCTCAGATGCTATCTGATGACATTCTTAGCCTTTTGATTGGTGAGACCGGATGGTCTGCTAGGAGATGTTATTGGATGACATTCTTAGCTTTTGGATTGGTGAGACCTGGTGGTCTGCTAAGTTAATACATTCTACTGTTAGTCACAGGATGTTAGATCAGAAACAGACTTGGGCAAGGAGTGGCTGTTTAGGGGGCTAAAGATGGCCTGAGATAAATGGTAATTAGACTCTGGACCTGCAACATTCCAAACTCTCCACAATCTCCCTAGAGAAAATCAGTTGGTGAGCTTTACAGGAAGTTCAGTCTAAGGTGCAGGAGTTCTTTGGGGGACTTTTACAGTCCTTAGACCACTTTGAGACTTCTAGTGTGTTACCATGATCTTTAATTTTTAGTATAATATAGTTTGGAGCATCACAGCTTTTAACAAAAAGTCAATTGCCTCCAGCATAGCAAAATTTGTTGGCTAACTTTACTAAAGTCCTCTTGATTGACATGTTAGGCAAAACAAGTGGTTTCTTCTGTTTGACTTCCAAAAGAAATTATCTTCAGAATTCTAATAGACCTTTAACACAAGGACATAGTCTTAAGTGAGTACTGGGGACTGCACTGTAAAGACATAACTAAAACTGTGTTTTTGCTTGCTGTCTTCCTACTGTGACAGGGCAAGGCCCTGAGTATGCAGATGTGGTGTTTCTGGTGGACAGCTCTGATCACCTGGGAACTAAGTCCTTTCCATTTGTGAGAACTTTCCTCAACAAGATGATCAGCAGCCTTCCCATAGAAGCCAACAAGTACCGCGTGGCCCTGGCCCAGTACAGCCACACTCTCCACAACGAGTTCCACCTGGGCGCCTTCAGGAGCAGGAACCCCATGCTGAACCACCTCAAGAAGAACTTCAGGTTCATCGGTGGGTCCCTGAAGATAAGGAATGCCCTGCAGGAGGCTCACCAGACCTATTTCTCTGCTCCCACAAATGGAAGAGATAGGAAAGAGTTTCCTCCCATCCTGGTGGTGCTGGCTTCAGCAGAGTCTAAGGATGATGTGGAAGAGGCTTCAAAGGCCCTTCGGGAAGACAGGGTGAAAATCATCTCAGTGGGGGTGCAGAAGGCTTCTGAGGAAAACCTGAAGGCCATGGCCACGTCTCAGTTTCATTTCAACCTTCAGACAGTCAGAGACCTCAGCACGTTTTCCTCAAACATGACTCAGATCATCAAGGACGTAACTAAGTACAGTGAAGGAGCAGGTGCAGTCTCAACTACAGCTGCAACAGATGCTGATGGAGTGGGTAAGAAAGAAGTCCTTACTGAGGAGGAGCCCAACCCCTATGGGCCCTGCACCTGTCTACTCTTACTTGCTATAGCTCCCACTTGGTGCTCATGATTAGCCATGTGGAACTGTAGGAAATGTCTTCATATTGTCCTCTTCTTTCTGTCCCTGGCTCTTTCTCTGGCACAAATTCTATTGCCTTCTTTTGCCTTTTAACTCCTTCATCATTTAAATCTCAACGCTGTGTTCTTATTCTCTTGGAATGCTTTCAAATTTCTTTTGGGGTCCCACCATTCCTTGGGCACATCTTAAGACAGCAGATTTCCCCATAATTATCAATTTCTAGATGTGTCTTGTCTTGTAGCCTTGGATGCGGAGTTCCACAAGGGCAGAACTGGCAGCTTGTGTTTATCTCTGTGTAGACAATGAGTTGGTGTTTTATTTCTTATTGGAGGAATAAACGAGAGTCCCACGATCACAGACATGGTAAACTCCTCGAGACGTTTTCTTTTTCCTCACAGTCCTGGTGACATGAAGCTGAACAGTAATTCAGTAAATTTCCATGAGCTAACACATAGCAACTCCCAATGGGAATGAGGATCTGGGAACGGGATACTCACTGGCACACATTCATGGTTTGTATCACGCAGGTGGCAGAAGGGAGACCCTCATCTGTTCAGCAGTGCAGGGCAGTGGGCTGCAGTCTTGGGCCTGTGCATACTGTATAGCAAGGCCCTTCCTCCAACATTTCTTCCCTTTGAGAGATGATGACACATCTCTAATGAGTGCTAGCATCTGCTCCAGAAAAAAGGAACGCATTACCTCTCCAGCCTGTAATCATTCTGTGCTGATATTTCTCACACTTATGACTACGTTTTTCACATTTTCATATATTTGCTATTAGGATGTATCTTTCAGTAGTGCTTTTAGGGAAATTCTGAAGTGCTGCTATTAAGTAATAGTGTATCTCCCTGTAGATTCATTCTTTTCACTGAAGAAATAGTGGGGATATTTACTGCAGGCTTATGGATATGGATGAGAACAACTAGAAGTGGCTCAAATCGAACCCACTCCATATCCTTCCTCATTTGTGTAACTCAAGACTTCAGCTATCCTACCCGTATATGAAATCCTTTCTGGCTTACTTTCTAAGGACCCCCCAAGTATATCTCTAGGGATGGTACCATTCCTTTCTCGAAGACTTCAACATCTATGCATCCCTGATGAAGTCTGCTATGTGCAGAGCTGCTCGAGATCAGCACCACCCCATCTGTTATCCTGCAGCTTCCACCCAGCAGGTGCCAGGACTGCCTTCCCTTCAGCTCCCAAAAGTCCTGGTATTTCATATTGAAATGCAGAGGAACTTTCTTGATCCTCTTGGCTCAAAGAATGAATCTCTATGTCTCATTAACTTACACTCCTCTCTCAAAATATGCTTCATTTGTGTCTTAGGAGAGTTTCCCACAAATATACCAAAGCAGAGTGTTCCTGAGTCTAAATAGTTTACTGGGGAGGTGGTCCCAGGAAGCACCGGTAAGAAATGAGGTAAATGAAACAGGAGGTTGCAGCCACAGTTTTGATGATGAGGCACTCATCCATAGCTCCAGGGAGGTGCTCCAGGTGAGGGAGAGGCTTGGCTACTCTCTCTAAAGGAAGGCAAGAAGAATCCTCAGCATGGTGGACTATCCCTCTGCACTCAGTTGGTAACAGCAGGCAATTCTGAGCAGGTATTGTCTAGTTCTAAGACCTAGTGTGGTGTGATGAGGCCTGACCTCAAGGTCACATGATCCAGGTACTGTCCTTGGCTGGAGATCTGGTCTTAGGGAAGCAATAACTCTCTCTAGGCATTTGAACAGACTCCTCATTTGTAAGACGTGGGAGCTGATAAATTTTGAAACTTCCTTCCTTTATTGTCCTTCAGGTCTATAGCTATAGTTATGGTTTGATTTCATTTATTTAACATCAGATTAGGTTAAACTTAAGATAACAAATAAGCTTCTTGAATAATAGTAAGTTTTATGGTCTAGGGATGTAGCTCAGTTGGTAGTTTGCCTAGCATGCATGAAGTCCTGAGTTCAGTTACCTGTACCACATGGAACTGGATGTGGTGGCACATGCCTATAATCCTACCATGTAGGATGCGGAGGCAAAGGATCAGAAGTTTATGGTCATGCTTGCCTACAAAGTCAGTTCAAGGCCAGTCCGGGATACATAAGATCCTATCTCAAAAACAAAAACAGATAAAACAGAAGAAATTTATGTTCTTTGTAATGCTATTTGGCCAGCACGTAGGGTACCAGTTTCCCTTATTTCGATATCTGGATTGGTGATGGCTCTTCCAACTTCAAACATGACTTCCTAGGTGCTCTAGGAAATGGCATTCAGACGGTAGAAAATGAAAAAGATGGAAGATCACCCACCGGCAGGTTTTATGGGCTGAGCCTGGAAAGAACACACACGCACACACACACACACACACACACACACACAAAGAAATCAAAGAACCATTTTACATCTTAACTGCAAATGAGGAAAATAAGGTCTAGCTTTAAGCCTAGGAAGGCAAAATGGGTTTGATGAGCATCTAGAAGGCTTTGTTCACAGTGTTGCCCTTGAGGTACTGGGGTGTCTTCTCTCCTTCCCTTTCTCCAGCCCTCATTCCCCCATGCCTCAGAGCTTTTGGAAGAAACATCCTATGAAGATCCACTTTGGGGAACTTGGAGATCCTCTTGATTCTATTTTTTAATTTAATTTAATTTTTATTTTATTTTATTTTTAGACAGGGCCTCCTGTAGCCCCAGCTGGCCTGTTACTCACGGTGTATGTAGACCAGGCTGCCCTCAGTCTCACAGAGATCTTCCTGCCTCTGCCTCCTGAGTGCTGGGTTTAAAGGCACCTGTAGCCCCAGCTGGCCTGTTACTCACGGTGTATGTAGACCAGGCTGCCCTCAGTCTCACAGAGATCTTCCTGCCTCTGCCTCCTGAGTGCTGGGATTAAAGGCACGCAGCACCATGCCAGGATCCTCTGACTCTTTAGGATGCTTCTTTGCTAGGTCTCTCCAGGACAGTGGAGCTTTATCACTTTCTTGGAGAGCTCCATATACTGATCATATTTCTTTTACTCCTCCTTTCATACAAGAGTACCATATGATGTGTTGCTTGGTAGGACCCTGTCTTGGTTTTTCAGATGTTAAGAGCGGGGTATTTATTGTCAGTAAGGTCTCAGATCAAATCATGGATGGGCTGCTTAGGACCTTGAGTAGTTTACTTAACCTCTGAGTTTCTGTTTCCTTACTTGTAAAATGAGGTTGATAGTGTCTGTCTTATAACATGGCTGAGGTGACTCGTATGGCCTTTGTGTACTGTTGTTGATAGTAACAGCTATTGGCAAATAAATACTGACCTGAGCAGGTCATGCTGGGAGTTTATTTTAGTCAGCTGTGTGGGATTCAGAGTAGACTGGGAGATTTATGAGGATTTGTTTTAATTCTGCACAAATATTTTTGATATCCCACCAGGTACCAGACACTAGAGGATAGAGATAACATTCATTCACCTTCTGAGGTCAGAGAAACTAATGGGCATTTCTTGGCACGACCGATCTTGTCTCTTGGCTTCACTTTTCACAGATGGGATTCATCCACCTGTGCCTGGAGTAGGTGCTTTCTGTCAACACGGCATACTTTGCCTTAGATTACAGATTCTTCCAAATATCTGCTCACCTGGCCTCTCCTCTTGGATGCTTCATGGTGTCTGAACCCTAGCATGTCTGAAATGGAACTCTTGAATCCCACCTATGACTTGCTCTTCCTCCCATCTTCCTGTCTTAGGAAAAGAAAACGTGACCATCCACTCAGATGTTCAAGCCAAAGCCTAGTTCTCCCCCACTTCTTTTGCCTCTAATTTATCAAGTTCTCTGTTCTTCCTCTTAAACCATGTATCAGAACTGCCCCTGTTGTTCCATCTTAACTGTTAGTATCCTTTTTAGAATCATTATTTCTTTCTTGGACTAGGGCAGTTGTGTATTGTTACCCTTGAATTTCCCTTCAGCAACTGGAGAGATACTTAAGAGATTTGAATCAAGTCATGTGACTCCTAAGGCCTACTTCCCTCTGACCTCATCACCATTCACCTACCAGCTTAGCATTTAGGGCGTGCTCCCACATCTTGGTATTCTTTCTAGTACAGTTTCTTTTTCTTCCAAATTCCATATGATTGAATCCTGCATTCACACTTCAACCAAATGTAACCCTGTCAGGGAGGCCTGCCCTGACCTCGTGTCTTAAGTATGTTCGAGTCTCTCCCCCAGCGCTACCCCAGCATAGTCAAATCAAGCCACCTGCTTTGTTTTCTTTGTAGCATTTATCACCCCTTGAAGTAATATGATCTAGCAATCACAGAGTGAGAGCTTGTTGAGGTCAGGAATGTTTCTGAGAATTCATCCCTGCATTTCAGCCTGTGAAGATGGAACGGAAGTGCTATCGGTGGTGGTGGCCATGATGGTCATATTGTTGGTGAAAGTGCATGTGGGGATGATGGTGGAGTTGGTCCTCCTGGTAATGAAGGTGGTGGTCTAACTGGTAATGAAGCTGAGTGTGTTGATGCTGGTAGAGATGTCTGTGCTAGGCTATGGTGGTGATCATACTGGTGGTGAGGGGCTTATGGCACTGAAAACGGCTATGGTGGGGGTGATTATAATAGAGATGATTGTGGTAGTGGTGGCTGTGGTGTATGGCAGGAAAATTGTAAGTAGCATTCTTCAGACAGGAGGAACAGCATATGTGAAGTCTCTGAATTAAATGATGTTGGAGTCGTGTTCAGAATTTTGATATTTTGTTTACTAAGAGGAAACAGTCCCAACTGGGTCTGTGGTAACTTCATCCATTTCATGACTGCCTTTTAGAAATCAGTGAAATGGGGGCTGGAGAGATGGCTCAGCAGATAAGAACACTGGTTGTTCTTGCAGAAGACCTGGGTTTGAATCCAAGCACCCACATGGAAGCTAACAACTGTCCATAACTCCAGTTCCAGGGGATCTGACAGCCTCTTCTGTCCTCCACGGGCATTGCAC